AGCGCCGCCACCCGAGGCTCAAGCCGCGCCACCACTTGCGCGGCTACGAGCACCAAGACCCGGACCCGCGGCGGGCGCCAGCAGCCACGACATCGCAGTAGGCAGACATGCTTCTGAACCTGCTGCAAGGCAACCTGCCTCGAGTGGAGCTGGGAGTTCGGATAGCCACCTCCGACTGCCACAGGTCAGAGTCAGACGTGGCCGACAGCAAGGAGGAGACGCACCTCCACCGCCACCAGCGGGTAACCCTGCTGCACGGCCACGACTTCCAGACGGGTCAAGGTTCGACTACAAACCAGTCTACAACATGTCCGAAGCTTTGACCCAAGCGTGGTAACACGCGAGCTGCGGAAGCTACACTTGCGTTGGTTCCATGGGAAAGAGCCTAAGATGAGACTCATCTTAACCGAGATAGGTCTGGACAACGTCAGACTCAAGCTGATCAAAGGTGTCTGCGACAAATGTCGGGAGTGCAGGGCTTGGGCCAAGCCTGGGCATACGGTCATGCCATCTACTGCACTGCCTGGCAAATTCCACAACGAAGTTGTATGTGACATGATGTTCTACAAACAAGAACACACGATATTCCATCTCATCGATCGTTGCATTCGAAATGCTACTGGAATGGAGATACCAGACAAGGCGATGACCAGTTTCCTGGATGCATACCATCAGCGCTGGATGCACTTTGGAATTGCAAAGGTATTCTACTCCGACAGAGAGGGTGCCCTCAACAACGACACTGCGAAAGCAGTTCTTAAGGCAACGGGCGCTGAACTAAGGTTACGTGCGCGTGGACAACACGCTACGACGATCGAAGCCAGAGATGGCATATTGCGCCAGCTACTTCATGTCATGGAAGCTGAACTCAACAGGTTAGACATACCTCTTGTGTTCACACGACTACTGCGCGAGGCCTTGTTTGCCGCCGACGCGTTTACCTTCTACAGCGAGGTGTCTCCATGCAACGCTCTATTTGGACGGCGACCGGCAATGCTCCCTGACTTACCTGTTCTGGATCACGAACAGCCGACGGAAACGTCGGATCATTCTCGTGGACAGAGGATTGCAGTAGCCAGACCAATCGTGCATTACGCACTAAGACAACTGTTACCGGTCAACATTATTACGATTAAAGAGATCTAGTTGAGTACCATCGCCCCGCAACCACGAAGGACGACTGGGGAGGCTGGAATGGCCCATTTCCAGCTGTGAGAATCGATCCCGACAGAGGTCAAGTCATCATTCGAGTGGGAAGCCGCGTCGTTCAGGTACAATACGGCGATGCACGACATTCACTTTATATTGAAGCTTCAATAGCAAGAGAAATTGGCTCCGACAACACTGCGCCACGGACAGTGTTGACGTTCGTGGCCAGTTTACTTGCGGGGGGACCTGCTATGACATTTAGCTATGTACGGACCAAGGAGGGGGCGCTTCAGATGACAAGTGCAAGCCGACTATCTCCTAATGTCCATCTAGCTTTACCTTATCAGAAACTTCTTCCGCATTGAGTACGTAGTTTCGGTCAAGTTAGCCGAGGGTATCCATCAGCGACCTCCGGTTGCTTACGCTGACAACTGCACATTGGTCTACCATGACAACGATGTGAATCCAGGATTTTATTATTATGAAGCAGAAGGCACCACTCTCTTAACATTCACGAAATAATTGGGTCAGCACAGTCTAAAATCATCCAGTGCCTGAAGTCCACCAAACCTCAAGCAGGCATTGACCAGGATATGGCAAAGTTTGAGGAATTGGCGGATGCACCTTCACTGGATGGAACTGCAAGAGAAGCCTCAGAAGCCGAACCACCACAGGAGGATAGACGGCTTCCTACGATTCATGAAGAATCGGAGGCTGACCTCGAGTCGCACGTCATGGAAGTGCGGCATGCAGAACTACAAGATGAACAGGAACTGCTGGAGGCAATTCCACTAGAGGATCTTTTCGCGATGCCCGCGCAGATGATTGCAGACTATAGTGTGCTGATCACTGTAGCTGAAGAACAGTGGGGGCGCCTGCCTAAGTGGGCGCACCCACGCGACTCCGACACCGAGGATATGTATAATGTCCTACTGTGCTCCATTGTCGAAGATTGCAAACACGGACTGGACTCACGCGAAAATTGACAATATGTAGAACTCTGTTTTACTGCAGAAATGTCAGAGGTAGTCCTGTCCGAACAACAACACAGGATATTATATACCAACCGTATGACTACTTTGCGAGTATACGTTGCCGCCGCTGCAAAGCAAGCTGCGGTCGTCAAGGAAGACGACCTCCTCGCGAAGGCTGACATCCCTGCGAACCCCGAGAAAGTATCGAAAGCCCTCTACACCGAACTCAAGACATGCTTTGAGAGCATGTGTTTCAAAATGCAAGACATTGCTAAAGCGTCAAACATCATGACTTCGACTATGTGCACACATGGAAGTTTTTGAAGAACGAGAAAGGCGGAATGGAACGTGCCATCATATTGCGCCTGGTGCTTCGAGGCTTCATGGACTTTGAAGCCTTTGACGCGGCGGCCTTTTCGGGCGCAGCGCGGCGGTCGAGCCTGAGACTTACTCGCGAGCACGGCAGCGTGCATGAAGCGATGGATCATTGCCTCCCTCGACATCAACATGGCCTTCCTGAAAGGGTTGGCCTACCAGGAACTTGCTGAGGCAACTGGTGAAGAGGGAAGCGCGGCGTGTTTTACTCCGCCGTCTGGATCGGCCACGGTGATTCGAACTCGCCAAGGATTCGATCGCTACGACGAGCCAAAGCACTGGCTGCAGTGCCTTAAACCAGGCACTGGCACCAAAGACGCACCCCGAGCTTTCTCACTAAAGCTCAGGAGGGCCACGAGAGGTTTTGGTATCCGACCCACGTCCTACGACGAGGAGTTCGAGACGAGCAGCAATCTGCTTGCGGCCAAACATGTTGATGACACCAATATGGCCGGCACTGAGGACACCATTGACAAGTGTGTCAAGTGCGTAGAAGGCACCTTTGGTAAGTGTAAACTCAACAAGCACACATGCACCAATTGTGCTGTGAGATATACCAGGGATGAGGTCGGACATGTTACTTTGGACCAAGACGAATGCATCGAACAGCTCCGTCCTATACAGCATCCTGAAC